TTGGCATATATCTATTTGTTATAATATATTTATTTGGTATATTTTTTTCATCTTATTTATATACGGTTTGACTTATTCATTTTTTAATGTTGCGATTTTTACATATATATAATTGTATACACAATACTCTATATAGATATAATAAAATAAAATAATAATATAATAGAATTATATATATATATTTATTTAGTGGCTACATATAAATATTAATATTAAATATACATATCTTTTTTTAAATATAACGCGACATAAATGATAATGTAACATGTCTCTCTTGATAGATTGACCTTAGACATTCTGTCACACATACGTTTTCCTCATACTTCTCCTTCTTTCTCTTCTAAGAAGTTATAAGTTCAAGGGGATAGATGAAAAATACAAATTTTCAGATTTTTTTCATCTTTATCAAATTACTTAAAAATTACTAAAGTTACATTGGCATCATTGCGCGTAAGTTACTTTTGTGTGTAATATTAGAAATAATGTATACTTTTCTTGAAAGGAGCGGATTTCAAATGCGTCTTTAAGAATGTACTTCTAAAAATAAAGAAAGGCAGTTCTTTTTTTTTAAATAATAGAGACAATCTGTATTTTATATCTTTTGTATATTTTATATTTCTTGTGTATTTTTGTACCTTATACTGTGTGACAAACAGCAGCGTAAGTGATTTCATACAAAATCGTTGCATCTTTGTTGGTGAAATATTATTNGAGCAGTATTTAGTTCAATTTTATGTTCAAAAATACTTACGCTTTTGCCAGAAACACAACGCGTCGGCATTACGAAGCATAGATCAATAAATAATTCATGTTATCAACTGGCCGTTAGCAACTGTACCAGATGACCCAGACGACAATCCCACATTTTTTTGAATATATTTACACAAACAAGTGTATCGAACATCATAAATAGAAGATAAGATTCGCTTGGTGCTTCACAAGTAAAAACACTAGCAAAGAGCGAAGTATTTCTTATTCTAAGAAACAAGAGTTTAGTGCCATTCTGTGATTGTTCGCCGCGTACGTATTTCATATAACATAACATAAAGTTAATGTGTCAAATATATTGGCTAATAGAATTAATTAGAACAAAAGTGTCATTGCTATTTCGTTACCACAAATGTAAATACAAATATTATATTGTACACTATTATAACACCATTGTATTTCCTCACAAATTTCAAAAGTTTTTTTTAAGTTTTTATCTTGAACTGGAAATAAACTTAATATAAGGACAAAATGTGTAATATAAAATATAAAAAACGCTATAAGTAGTACTTTTCTTCCTAACAATACAACATAACATTATAATTATGAAAGTTTAAAAAGACTTTTATAAAGTGTAGTGTTATAGGATTAGATGCTTTTTCTAGTTAAACGACACAAGATAATACAAGAGTCATTCTNTTTTTGTTTCTCTTTAAATATTGAACAAGAACAGAATGATTCTTGTGTCGACTTGTGTCGCCAATTGGAAAGCATTCATTTGCCGCTTTGACCGTACCATAAAAAACAATAAAATCACTAATGAATACACTTGTATAATAAATATAGCATATGCATATAACAAATATATATATATACACAGGATGAAACAATTTACGATTAAGTTGTAGCAAAATTATCAAACGACACCAGAACCCCAAGACTTGAATTCCGCGGCTGCATGTGACGTCGTTTCAATAACGATTCACCTATTTGTCGTCAGAATGAGTCCTACTACGCATCGACGTTCTGCATCATGGGCTAGACGGCTGTTTTACTGTCAGTACGCGAAATACCTTNTCTTCCTCCTTACTTGCATCAGTTTTTCAGTAAGAAACATCGTTGCTGCAACTGTTCTCCCCATCGACGAAGGTGTGGAAAATACATCACACACAATGAATAAATATCGTTTACCGGAAAGCGTGGTGCCAACACACTATGACATCAAATTAATATTGCACATCGACGATGGTAACTCCAGCTTTGACGGTGAATCCAGTGTCACCGTCCAGGTCCGAAGCCGACAAAAAATTTATATTTACATGCGATGAAT